AAAGCCGTGGCGGCACCAGGTGTTCGGGGCCAGGATGCGCGAGAAAACTTGAAGAAAAATATCTTTGTTCTCTAAGGATCCAGAAGCAGCGTTTGGCATCGAAAGTGTGACCAGGGGAGGCTCGTTTTGGATCAGAATTAGATGGGGCAAAGCTGTGGCGCTACTAGGTGTTCGGGGCCAGGATGCGCGAGAAAAATTGAAGAAAAATATCTTTGTTCTTTAAGGATCCAGAAGCAGCGTTTGGCATCGAAAGTGCGACCAGGGGAGGCTTGTTTTGGACCAGAGTTTAGGCTATGTGGCTCAACATGAACCTGGTCAAGATTTTCGAGAGTCAGTGTTGTGGCAATTGTTGGCCCTTTGCCGGGGGGGCTTCCCCCTCCGCCTGGGCATCGTTGTCGCTTCCTCGGTCGTGGGACGTCGTGGGATTTTTGTTAACCCAGGCGGGGGCCCTTCCCACGACCTCCACGACAACGATGGGGCTTCTGGGGCTTGGCCCTCCTCTGGTTGTGCACTTTTGCAGCAGTGCGGCTACGAGCGCGTTGAGGAGTATAAATGCCAGGAGTAGAAAGCAAGGCTCGATTGGGGATGACGATTTTTCTGATGTTCCGGTACAGAATGCACCATGTTTTTATGCCTCAACAGTCCATGCCTCCCAAGAACAAGCCTTGCCGTTGGATGTGCGGTGTTTGACTTGAATTCGTCCATTGGGCTTGGCTGACAACACGCGCGCACCACATCTTGGACAATTGTGCTCGTGTCGGCGACCAGCAACTATACCGTCCAAGACACGAAATGTGTGGCTGCACTTTCCTCGATGGTGGACTTGGCTAGTTTGTACCCCACTGCGGCGTGGACAGTTGCAACGTGGGCAGACGTATTCATACAGCCTTGTCGGCTCCACTTTGACCTCACTGCCACGATCCGGATCGAATGCGCGGCCATGTGTGGGCGCGTGTGGCTGCGCGCTTGTCGTGGTGTGTTTTCCTTTTTTGGATTGTGGTTTAGGGAGCTTCTCTGTCGTGGTTTGGCGTTTTGTTTGACGCCTACTGTGCGGGACTGTGCTCTGCGGTGGCTCGATGGAACTGTTTGGTTTCGGGTGTGGCGCCACAACACTTGCGCTTTGTTTGGGCCGCTTTGCGGCGGTGGGTTCCTGTGCGCCGGGGGCCGTCTGAGCCAGACCCAGACGTTTGCGCGCGTGGACTTCACTGGCGATGAGGTCTTTGATTTCTTGCAGGATGTGTTCTTGGTGGATTCGTTGATGCAGCGACGCTATACGCGCGTTGCACTTAGATGGAATACGCTGGCGTTTGCGACGCTACGGTTGTCTTGTGTAACATGCGTCACACATCTGGTGGCCATCCTCTCCTGAGGGACGCCGACGCAGGAAGGTACGGTATTGGTCTCGTTGTTTTCGTTGCTGACAGCCAGCACACGTCCAAAAGCCACGAGTTTTGCGTTGACAGGTAAGGCACTTTCGGCGGCCCTGTTTACATCGCCACGCAGCAGCGCTAAAACACTCTTTAGTTAGACTTTTCTGGCACACGAGGCATTGCTTTTTGGCTTCACAGGAGAAACAGATGCGGTATGAACTCCAGCGTGGATTCAGATGCTTGGAGGGAAAGTGGCTGGCGGCGTGCCAGACACCACATTGGCTGCAACGATACGGTGTGCCTGCGTCACGTTTGTGCGCTGTGCACTCTTTGCAGACACGATAGCTATCGCGGCGCCGTTGGCCCTTTGTGAAACCGTCTTTCCGTTTGCTTTCATTGTAGTCCATGCATGGTCTCTCATCGAGATATTTCTTGCGCAGGGCATCCCAGTCAATTCGTTCTTGTTTCCAGACGTCCAGCAACAGCTGCCGTCCCAATGGCAGACCTGCTTGCAAAGGCGCCAGAGGAAAAGGGCGGTAGATGAGTAGTTTTTGTCGAGAGCGGCAACGCGTCATTCCGACGTATACGGCAATGAGATCGGCGTTGCCTTGCACGTCAACGATAGCACCGTGCCATTACTACTAGTAGCTACAAGCTACTGGGTTGGAGGCCATTCCTATTAGCTTCCTTTTGCTACTAAGTTCGAGGCCATGCAGCCCTTTAGACTAATCTTGCTGCGTCGGGGTCTTTAAGGATTATTATTAAGAATAAGCATGCTCAGAGCGCTGCCAGGAGACCCTAATAGCGTTCTTGTTCCTCTAATAGCGCGCCATTGCAATTTGTTGTTTTTCTCTTATGAGGTCTTTGGCTGAATACATAACTGAAAAATATACATGTTCCGTCAACTTTGCAAATACATATATATAATGATATTTGCAACTATATAGTTTGTTTTGGTTATGCTGTTTTCTCTCAAAGAGTTTCCGTATTCAGCAAGGCAATAAATATCAGGAGCCTCAATTACCACCCTCTTGGTACAAGCGCGAACTCCCATTTCTTTTGCGTAAATCCGTTTCTTCGCAAGAATGGGCAGGAAGTCAGATGTGGCAGGGTAAACTTGTGCGCCTGCAGAAACCGGCTACATCTTACATCTAACCCCAATAGAAACGCAGCAGGACTGGTTGTAGTAGAAGTCGAAGTCGTCGTCGTAGTAATAGTAGTAGTCGTCGTCGTAGTAGTAGTAATAATAATAGTACTCGTAATATTAGTGGTAGTGATAGTAGTAGCGGCAGTAGTAATATTAGTAGTAGTAGTAGTAGTAATAATAATAGTAGTAGTAGTGGTAAAAGTAATAGTAGTAGTAGTAATACTAATAATATTAATCGTACTAGTAGAAATAATAGTAGTACTCGTAGTGGTGGTAGTAGTAGTAGTAGTAATAGTAGTAGTAGTAGTAGTAGTCGTCGTGGTAGTGGTAGTAGTAATAGTAGTAGTGGTATTAATAGTAGTAGTAGTAGTAGTAGTAGTACTCGTAATACTAGTAGTAGTAGTTAGTAATAGTAGTAGTAGTAGTTGTTGTTGTTGTTGTTGTTGTTGTTATCTAGTAGTGGTACTGCTAGTGGTAGTGGTAGTGGTAGTGGTCATCAGTAGTAGTTGTAGTAGTAGTAGTAGTAGTGGTAATAATAGTAGTAGTAATAATAGTAGCAGTAATAGTCGTCGTAGTAGTAGTAATAATGGTAGTAGTAGTAGTGGTGGTAGTAGTAGTAGTAGTAGTGGTAGTAGTAGTAGTAGTAATATAGTAATAGTAGTAGTAGTAATAGTCGTCGTCGTAGTAGTAGTAGTAGTGGTAGTAGTAGTAATACTAGTGTGCTCATGATGACTACTACGCCTGTCCCGGGGTCGGCGGCAGGGGCGGCAACCCTTAAATCCGGGCGCCGGCCAGGACGCCCGTGGCATGCCCGGAGGGCCTTCGGTGGTAACCGAAGCTTATAGACGCTGGCCCTGGCTACCGCCGACCCTCGTCACCAAAACGGGGGGACCACCGGGTCACTGAAGCCCCTGTAATTTACAGTGTATCGTGGGTGTGAGGTATAAAAAACACTGTGCTTTACAGGGTTTATTGCGCATATCGAAATACGACGCGGGGGAAATGGAAAAATGCAAAAATGCTGTGCTTTTCAAGGGTGGTGTCGGTAATGCGGGCCCGGCGGACAGGCTTAATCGACATTTTGTGGGTAGAGGCCCTCCAGACGACTTACATTTCCTAACATATCCTCAACATAGGCCCAAGATAGCCAACAAACATAGGCCCAAGATAGCCAACATATCCCCAACATATGCCCAACATAGCCTCCAAGATGGCTCAACATGAGGCCAACATAGGCCAACATTGGGCCAACATGGGGCCAACATACGCCAACATAGGCCCAACATAGGCCCAACCTAGGCCAACATAGGCCAACATAGACCTAACATAGGCCAACATAAGCCCAACATGGGCTCAACATGGGCCCAAGATGTGCAACTTGGCCCAACCTAGGGCCAAGATGCGCACCAGATAGCTTAACTTTGCTCAATATACGCCCCACCAAGGCCAACATAGGCGTGACATACGCCCCACAGACCCAGTGGGCCGGCGCCCGGCTGTTAGGCGTAAGCCTTTAATTAAATTTCTATTAATTTAGATCTATTTTTCTTTTTATAATTGTATTGATTTCTATTAACATCAATATCTTTCCAATTGCCTATTTTTTTGTGTTATTCCTTTGTATTCCGGTTTAAATTTTCGAAAATCATTCCCTTCCTCCATATCATTTCTATTTTCCCCTTTTGTCCCATCCAAACCTCAAATCAACCCCTTCTTGGATGCAGTTGTGCAATTGTGCACAATGTTCATATGTATGCGCTGACAGAATCACAATTTTAAAGCGTATTCCTGCGGTCAAAATTTGGAAATTCTAGTTCGTATGTAAAGCCAAATTGCTGCAACGTGCCAGTGCCATTGCTTGTCCGATATGCATGGTAAGAAGCATGAATCTATTCATGTAATACAAGAGTTGTAGTAGAAATTGTGAATTGCACAGGAAACAAAGGCTTACATTCAATTTGATGTGTGCAGGCAGCAGCACATACGGAGATAACCATCAGCAAAGAAGTCTGCACAAATGTTTTCTTCGTCTGCCACTTGAGCTGGAACTTCTGCTACGATTGCGATGCTTTCTTCGCCTTAGCGGCCGCACATGCTTAGAGGCTTGGCTGCTTGGCTGTGCCCTGCTGCACAGAAAACATGGAAATCACCTTGCAGAAAGAAATACGTTCTCTTTTCAGTGCTCTAAATGGTGGCAGTTACTCTCTGAGTAGGGTTTACACCGCCAGGGTCATATCACCAATGAATGCTGACAGAGTTGCATTGAATCCCTAATTGCCCTCCCGTTGCACTATTCCTCAAACCGATCCCCTTCCAAACTCTCAGCTTTCTCAGCTCTTGGCTTCTCATTTCGTCGGGATCGACTAGGAGATCGACCCTTGCGCCGCTTCGACACTCGGCGGCGCTTCCGGGCCTTGGAGCGAACGCTTCATCTGAAAGGACGAAGCACGGTGCGGACAGAGCCAACTTTAAAGAAGCGACAAAGCTGCCCCTCTCTCTTGAACTCTATAGAGGAGCAGCGTACAGTCTGTGCGTTTCACCTCTGAAGTCCTGGCTTTGCAAAAAAAGCATCGGGGTTGTCCCGAACATTCTTGAATAAATGAGTGAATAAATGAGTGTCCAACAGCGGATGGGCTGCTGCTTGACTTCTCTTGACACCTGGGCACAGCACGACACACGAGATGGACTGGGACAAAGGCTGGAATCCTTGGAAACAAAGCCTGCTTGCAGATGTCGCAGGAGATGATGACTTCGACCTGCTTCTGCCACCTAATTGTGAGATGCAGCATTGCGGAGATTGCAGGAGGGAGAGAGAGAGAGAGAGAGAGGCGTGTGACCTTTTCTCACTGCAAAGGCCTTTCATCCGCTCCTCCTGTTGCCGCTTGATCGCCTCCTCTTTCCTGTACCAAACACTTGCTAAAGCTTTATGTATAACCAGTGTAAGAACTTTAGAGAGCCTCTTCTTGGCAAGCTCCGCCTGTATTCGCGCAATTTCCTGAACGTGGCTTGATCACAAAATTTGGCACCTCACCACTCAAGAGCACCTGCATCTTCGAGAAGCATTGGAAATGCAAATACTGCTGCCCAGGCCTGCTCTTTTGCTTGCAAAAGCCTGCAGCAGCTGTTGCACTGGACATGACAATTCCAACTCAAGTTTATATAGTCTTTTGGCAGGTAGCCTCGCAGTCTCCTCAGGGCGCATGCAGCGTGCTGAAGCTTTTAGCTGCTCTTCCCTCTCATGTTTTTCCTGCTCCTGCCCAAAGAGAAACGCAAGGACGCTATTAGGTGGAGGCCATCGCAAGTAGGTTGGAGGCCATCGCTACTAGTAACAAGAAGCTACTAGTAGCATTCACATACACAGTTCCAAGTCGACTCCGAGCAAGGAGCCTCTTCCTTCCGTCGTCGCTCTGCTCGGTCCTGCCATTCAGCCATCCTTGATCATTGATCCATGGACTTCATAGACTCAGCACATGACGGCAATGGATCTACCCACCTGCCTGCTTTCTTCTTTCAGCTTCCTCGCGTTTTCGCTTCTCTGCTTCTTGCTTCCTCTCCTGTCAACCAAAGGAACCAGGAACCAATCACAAATTCAATGTAGATCTGTATAACTATCTGTGAAATGGTGGATCCCTTCAGCAGCAAGGCGCACGCTTTTCCAACACCATAGCAAAAGTTGGAAAAGGTTGGGATCAGCTACGGCCCCTGTGCATTGGGCCACATGGCCATGTCATGATTGGGATCAACGATGCTCTCGTGCGTGACCTTCGTTTCACAGTTCCTACCTTTTTCTTTGATCCCAATCCTCCTCAGCTGGGAGTTTGTCTGGCCTTCTTCCTGGGCTTTTGCCCGGTTCTCCATCTCCTCCTCGGCTGGCCGGACGCTGTACATGCCGGACTGGATGAGCTCGTAGAGGGCCTTGTTTGACCCGCTCACCTTGGTGAGTCCGTCCGCTGGCATCGCGAGGTGGTGCACCCACTTGACACAACCTTGGACTTGTTTCAAGTCCTGGCGAACGATTTGAATCTCGATCGCCGTGCGGCGGTCCTGACCACCCAAAGTGTCTTTTGACAGGTGGTCGTAAAGGGATTTCGCATCCACTACCGCCAACGCTTCTTTGAGCGTGTTCTCACTCCGCTCACTGCTCATCACCATCAGCTCTTCGTTCTCCAGGCGGTCGCGCCATTTCTTGACGTTGAAGGTGCCATCTTGAAGCTCTTGCGCAAGCACCATCACCCACATCAGCTCAGCTAAGCCTCGGGAGAGGCTCTGGGTCTCAGCTGCCAAGGTGCTATTCACCACCCTCTGTAGTTTGCCGCTCCTCCAGGCAATGATGTTTGCCCGGGCTGGTAGTCCGTCTCGGAGCTCTCGTTCATGAGCCAACACCAAATGGCCCCCTTGGGAGTGGAAGCCGTTGTTCGCGAACGAGGCATCGGTCACCACGCTCATCCTCATCTTCTTCAGGGGTTGGATCTTCAGGCTCATGGCGGCATGTTCTTTGAGGTTGTCCACGACCTGGTTCAACTGCACCAGGTCCTCCACCGTCAGTTTTGAGAGCTTGGAGGCCATCAGGCTTGAAGGGCCCGAAGCATCGGGACGCCCTTCGCGGCTCAGCCAGTTGAGGGCCCCACATGTGGCTCTTGCCATGCTCACCTCTTCCGGCGTGGCCGGTTCTTTCTTTTGGCTTTTGCGCCCCTTCTCCAAGTCCACTGGGCGCAAACGCTCCTCGATGAACTTCTGCATGTCCACCAGGTAGCCACCATCTGGCAGCTGTCGAATGCGTCGGCCGTTGAAAGCACATCCATCCTTCTCTTCTCGCAAGGCAACGTACTTGCCAAAGGTGTACTTGGTGCGCAGCTGCTTCATCTTTTCATGGTGCTCTTGGTGCCCCACAGTGAACAAGTCATCCACCTCAATGGCGATCGCCCCAAGCAGCCTCCTTCTGCTCTTGTCGTAGAGCTTCATGATGCACGGGTCCAAGGCAGACATCTCATAGCCCAGGGCTTTGAGGTCTTCTGTCAATGATTTCCTCCAATGAAGTGGTGCGTCCACCAACCCGTAGCAGCCCGCGACAATCTGCGCGATCTGGTCCGGGCGCAGGCCAATGACTCCTTCCTTTGGTTGTTGGAAGTATAGTGGGCCGTTTGGTCGGCACAGGGGTTGGCTTTGGCAGAAAGCGTTCTTGAGGTCTCCGACCGTGGCTGTCATGTTCTCGTTGGCGGCCACTTGGAGCGTGATGTTGAAGTTCACGGTGTTCAGGGTCGGTGCGAACCGTTCCAACTCTAGGATGTCCGGGTCCAAGTCACCTCTGATGCGCAGCCTGGACTTCTTGGTGGCTGGTTCACCTGGTTGTTCCCCAGGTTTGTAGCGTCGGGCTATCTTGGTGGGCAGGATCCTGTCTCCTTTTCCTTGTTCTTGCAGCTCTCTTCGGATCCGTTGCGACTCTTCAAGCCCCAAGACTTTGGCCCCGCTCTGAGTGACCTTGTTCCATTCGCTCAAGTCAGCTTGCTTCCATTCTTCAAGGTCTTGAGCGCTCTCGGTCTTGAGGTTCACCTCGTCTTGACCCTTCTTCTCCGCCAGGTAGGTGGTCACTTCTTGGATGTCCTTGATATAGAACGTCGTGACCCCCTTCCACCAAGGGTGGTTGAACTCATATCGTCCACTGCGGCTCCATGTTTTCTTTTCTTCAATCTCGGGGCCCGGAACACAAACACGTATCTCCCGGCTGGTAACTCGTCCAGGTCCGAGGTCTGGCTCTCATCGATCTCTGGTAGGTGTTCTTGGCGTTGTGTTCACAAAAGGCCTTCTGAGCCACTCGCCGCATGTGGTGCAACTTCTCCAGGTCATCCGTGAGAACTCCTCCTAGTAGTGTAGGGTCGACCGCCTCGTCGGACATGATGGAGGTTGGCAAGCGCGGCCACTGCCCGATCTGCCGTTGTACCGGCGCAAACCCCGACCGGTTGGAGTACCGGTTCTTGGTCATCTCCACCTCCGCCATGACCCTCTTCAAGTCCTCCGGGCTTTGCACCACGACCTCGCTCCGGACCTTGTTCAACAGGTCCTTGAAGTGGCCCCCCTTGTTGCCAAGGGGCCTTTGAGGCGATTTGATGGACCACGATGCCCTCCGAGGATGCCCTTTGAATAAACTCTCCAAGAAACTCTCGCCCGGCATCACAGGTGATAACCTCTGGATGTCCAAACGTTCTTGCCCAGGTCGAGAGGTATGCGCCCCAGACTTCCGCGGGGTTCTTTCCATCCAAGAGCTCGCACATCTGGTAGTTGGTGCCCCAGTCGATGATGTTCAGGACCGGCGTCGTCTGCTTCCCCCCTCCAGGCGACGGCACATAGAAGAGGTCCAGGCCGATGACTCTATTTGGTTGATAGGCCCGCGGCAAGGCTGTTGGCCTGGGGACCTTTGGATGGGCGTTAGCTTGACACACATCGCACTTGAAGTGTTTGTAGGCCCATTGAATGAGCTCCCCTTGCACCCGAGCTGCCCGAAGAAAGCGAATGAACTCTTGTTGATGTGGGTGCCCCACCGAGCGATGTACCTTCATGATGGCCTTCTTCTCCTCCTCGCTCGGCTCATAGTTCCCGGGAGCTTCTCCCCTCGGCATCTCTGGGCCCGGCCCCTCTTCTTCCTCCTCCTCGTCCAGCTCAACGGGGTAGTGCCCCAGCTTCCGGGTGTGGTGGAAGCGGATGATAGCCTGGGCCACTGTCCGGCATAACTCCTCTGGGTACACCTGAGCCAGTTTAGGCCGCCCGTTTTCCAGGACCCGGTGAGTATGTGAGCCGTCGCACCCCACGTCAAGCGCTTCCAGCACCTCCGGGATGTTGCTCAGCCACTTCGTGCGCTTGCGGTTCAAGCCCATGCCGTCGACGTTCATCCCGAACATGCACTGGTCGCAGACCACCGTCTTGACATCGTTCCGGGCGGCCAAGGACTGCATGCCGGGGTCTTGCCACGAGCTCGCCCCATCCGAGCGTTCAAAAAGGATGGCTCCACCTCGGTTCAACTGCCACTTCATCACTGCCACTTGCGAGTTGTAGATGCTCCCGGCCGGTTTGGAGTAGCCTCACCTGATGGCCTGGCATCATTCTTCCCCAGTTGATGGCCTGCAGGCGGCTAAAGGCTGTGCATGGTGGGCTCACCACCAGAACCTCTGGTCTCTCTTCTCGCAAAATCCTCCACATTTGTCGGCGGTGATTGTCCTGTGACAGGTCCCAGCCGGTCTGGAGATCAAAAGAGCTGCCAACCTGGTAGCCCTTCTTTTGCAGATGTAAGGCAATCCGAGGTGGACTATAGATCTCTCCGAGAATCACCTGGGACTTCTTCTCCACGGACTTGATGGCCTTGGCGAGTTCTCGCCGCTCCTTGCGGCTAAGCTGGCGTTGTTTTTCTTCTCCCCATTCCTCTTCACGTAGCCCACGTCGGTTGAGGTAGACCTCCACGTAGACCTCCGGGATGTCCTCGGGGATCTCCGACTCGTAGTGAGTCCATAGCTCCTCTCGCCACGTCGAGTAGCCTGGCTTGGCCGCCAGGTAGACGTGCTCGCCAGCTTGTGCTTTCTTGGCCCACTTCACTGCCTTGGAGCCGGAGCACTTGGTCAGGGCAGGCGCTTCTTCTAGCCGTCGAACTCGTCGTCCTACACATCGACCACCGGCGTCCTCTCGGCATAGCTCACCCTCGTCCAGTCGGTGCTGGGCGCAGATCCCAACACCGCCATCGTCGCCACCGCTGCTCTTCTCCTCGTCTCCGGCGACGCCGAGGCCTCCCTTCTCGGGCTCTTGGACCTCCTCGGGTTCAATGATGACGCCGCCGTCTTCGCCTCCTCGATGTCCGCCTGGTCCTGCTCGTTGATCCATTCGAAAAGGTCGCACTTGCGTTGGACGCACTTCCAGAACACGCGGCCTTTCCGAGGTCCCTCCTTCTTCACGATCAGGGCTTCCGCAGGCTTCCCGCACAGACAGGTCTTCTTGGTAGTCGGAGGGGGCGATCGTCGCGAGCTTGCTCTTGGATCTTTCTTCCCCGGGGTCGAGGGCGCCGGCGAGGCTTGTTGTTGCTGAATGATCAACTGCATCAACTTCTCTTGCCGGAGGTCCTGTTCTCGATTCGCCAGAGTGGCTTTGCGCAGCTCGTCGGACATCTGCTGGAGTTGCACTGCGTTGAACTGAGACATCTGGATCGTGGAGGCTGCCTGCTCGTTCTTGAGCTGCTGCAGGATCATCTGCGTGTGAGTGTTCAGCTCCACTCGGAGGTCCTCCTTGACCAGTGCCATCGAGCCTTCCGTCGAGGGGCTGCCATACATGGCATCGACCAGCATGCATCCCTCCGAGCGCGGAGGAGTCACTGGGGCTGCAGCCAAGGCACTGGTCCTGGTAGGCGACGACGCCTCGGTCTTGCCCTGTTTGATGCTCAAGGGGCCGTGCTTCAGCAGCTTGTGGACATCGGCTGACCGTTCGGAATGGGCCCACCTGGAATGGCACGCTTTGCACACGATGTAGAAACTGGAACCGTTGCCACCACCCTTCAACTGGTTCTTCGGGTGAATGCAACTGCTGGCGGAAGCGGTCGGTCCAGTTTTGCTCTGCAGAGGTTTGAGCGCGGGCGCACGCATGATTACCTCCGCATAGTAGTCCTCGATACTGTCCATCGAGCTGCGTGCCTGCCGCTGCGAGCCCAGCTCCAAACACCAAGCCTCTGTGGCGTCTTGCAAAGCCGCCAAAACCAGCAAAATGCCGATCTTGTCCAGGATGATGCGCCAGTGTTTCAAGGGTACCCTTGGGTTGAGAACCTTGGGCCCCACTTCCATCAGTGTTGGATCCACCGTAGGATGGCTTCCCACCAGTGCTTTCGCCTTCTGGAGCAGCGACGCCATTGGATGAAGGTGGGATTTGGGCGTCTGGGCGCAAATCGAATTGATGGCCGTCGGATTGAACCGGCATGGCTGTGGCCATGAAACACGAAGCATTCACCTCAAACTCGGATTGCTCCCCGGCTTCCCGAGGAACATCGAATCGACCGGCCGCGAACGAGAGGATGTTGACCGTGACGTGACCGCTTGGTAGGGGATGAAGTGGAACCTCAACCTGGTGGTTTTGCAACTCCATGATCATGTTCTTGAGGTCTATCTTGGCCGCCAGGGTCACCAACAAACGAACTGGTAGTAGAAGGGGCACGTCTCCCTGCACCACCGTGGTCTCCAGCACCCCTCTGACGCTTTCAATGCCCAATGGGATAAGTGCGACCCCCTCGACCACCGCGTTGCCACCGACTCCCTTAGCTGAAGTTTGCTTTGGGGTCCATTTGGTGCGTAACCCCCGCATCAACAACTCCTTCTCCAGCCGTGCGAGTGGTGCTCGACCCACGAGTCCGCCCTCGGCCGCGGTATCGACGATCCCCTCGAACGACTTGGTGGTGATGCCACAAAAATTCTCCGAACCCTCCAAGCACACACATGCCCGCTCCATGTATGCCTCCTCGGATTCACTGTCGGTGGCGGGCCTCGAATGGGACTTCCGCTCCTTCACAAAGTTGCGCAGCCAATATTGCTGCGACTCACTGGAAAACTCGACGCTCTCGGAGCCGGGCTGAAGTCCTACAAAGAAGGTCCGGGCCGGTTCACTGCTTGTCCTTGCCACCGGAGCGTTCTTGCACTCTCTCTCCCAATGCCCGATCTGTTGGCACCGGCGGCAGCGCGTTCTCAGTTTCAGCTGCTCGATGTGAACTCTGCGCTTGCCCTTCTCCTTGCCTTTCTGGAACGAATTGACTTTGCCCTTCCCCTTCCCGGGAAAGTAACCCCTGCCGAGCCGCTGGTCCTTGAGCGCCTGCCTCGTGTCTTGGTAGGCGGCCAAAGCGGCCATGACATCCTGCTCATCCATGACCTCGTCCAGGTCCCCTTCCGCCAGGAAGATGTAATCGGGGTCCTCGTCCTCCCATCCAGCGTAGGTGAGGTCCTCGTCGTAGGTGTCACCGACCGGGTTCTCAAGAACGAAGGACTCTTCGGTCACATAGCTGCCCTTCGCCTTCTCCTTGAGGACCTTGTCCAATCGCCTCAGGGATTTCGTGATCTCCTTTCTCCCATAGCGGCCTTGCTACCACGTCAACAAGCGCTGCTCCTAAGCCTCCGTCAAAGCGGCCTGGCGGTACATGATGTAGCCGCGTGCACTGTCGGGCAATTCGACGCCCTCCACACCGAGCCGGTGAAAGGCTCGATCCATTCTTTTGGTGTACTCCGCGAAGGACTCCTTGGAACCCCGTGGAGGCCCGTAGACCGCGGTCTCAAAGGCCCTTGGAAGGGAGACTTCAAGATGCGGCGCGAAGTAGTCCCTGAGAGGATGTTTTGGACACCGTCTTCACTGGCGATCTCTTTCACCTCCATGTCGTCCACGGCCGTGGCAGCCACTCCGCTCAGCTGCCTGAGCAGCTTGATGCCTCGCTTGACCCGGGGAACCTCAGTTTCCAGCAGCAAAAGCTCCACCTGCTTCTCATACTGCCGGAAGGTGACCTCGTAGTTGTCGCCGTCATAGGAAGGCGGGGGATCCCTGTCCCTCGCCGGAAACTCAGCTGCTCTGGTCGTGGTCTCTCGGCTCTCTGCTGCATACCCAGCGGCTCGACGGGATTCGTGTTCTCCTTCATCTTCTCCGCTCATCGCTCAGCTGGCCTGGAACGTCCACCTCAGCTCCGCGGTACCACTGTGAAATGGTGGATACCTTCAGCAGCAAGGCGCACGCTTTTCCAACGCCATAGCAAAAGTTGGAAAAGGTTGGGATCAGCTACGGCCCCTGTGCATTGGGCCACATGGCCATGTCATGATTGGGATCAACGATGCTCTCGTGCGTGACCTTCGTTTCACACTATCATATATAATCATATATATATACATAGTAAACGAATTTACTATATGTGTGCATACAGCAAATCAGTGTAAAACTTTGGAGGTGGTTTGTCCTCCACTTCAAACTTCATCCGTAGTTTGTCTTCTCGAACCATGCCTGACTTATCAACAGGATGCGCCATGCAAGAATACACAGTTCTACTCGTTGAGGCTCCAGCGCGCTATCTCCACCTTTCTTTGCTTGCCTTAGAGTCTGAGCAAAGTGATATGGCCCATCGTCAGAGTTTCGCTGTAGCAACGGAAAGGAAAGCAAAAGGATCAGTCTTCTCAGAGTCACTGCTTCAGATTATGCCCTGCACGTTCTTCCTCCTCTCTTGCAGCTTGCAGCTGCGCCTAAATCACACAATATCACAAGTAAAGATCAATTCAAACCACCAGCTGACCAGTGAAAGTAGAGACATAAACACTCAAAATGCCAAGGCTGACCGCCGCTGGCCTCAACCTCTTTGCGCTGATCATCCTCCTCTTGCTGACGCCGCCGCAGCAGGAAGTTGTTGCGGCGCTGCAGCTCCTCAGGGTTCAGCTGCCCGAAGAATACACAAAGAAAACACGAGTGCATTTGCACTGCAATTGCATGAGGGCTCTGCATTTCGTGGTTGCATGAGTGCTTCAAAATAGCTATTATGAAGGGAGTGTAGAAGGGAATTGCCATCTCTTGCAAGCGGTTGAAAGAATCCATTCAAATGCCTGTCCCGCTTCCGCAAACGTTGGCCATGCCACTATCTCAACTGTTGGAGCAAGAAAACGTCAAGTTCAAAAGTGTGCCAATATTGCTTGAAGGGCTCTGCCCCACAACCAGAGCAAGGCTGAAACATCTCTGACATCTCCCAAACCACCCTCTCACCATTGTCAGCAGCGCTCAGGGTGACAAAAGACCATCAAGGTCATCATGGCTCATGACTCTTTTGAACCCCTAGGACCTACTACTATCGGCTCCTGGCATCGCTACTAGGAACAAGAAGCTACTAGGAGCTCCTGGCCTTACTGCTAGGAGCAAGGACGCTCCTTAAAAATGCTCAACGCCGAATCGCTAGATAAACATCTTCTAATCTTCTACCAGTACAGCCACTGGCTCTGACAGCTCCTGCTCAAAGCGCTGCAATTCAGCTTCCGCTTCCTCCCGTGAGTAGCTGGTCTCGTCAGTTTGCTCTTGGTACAATTGCTTGCGTGCATCCAGTCATTCTATACATTTCTTTACCCTGTGCTACTACACTTACAGTACTAGACCCTTCCGACTCTCAAGCAAATCACCAAACTGCAGGCTTTCTCTCAGCCTCCTTCTCCCGCTTTCGCCTTTTTGCAGCCTCTTCCTCCTTCAGCCTAGTCCCAAGATGGTGTGCCAAAGGCAGGCACTGCTGCGTGCCAAACAATTGAACTCTGGATTATCAGTTGTCGGATCTCTCGCATCATTTGTTATATAGCCTCTACCGGACTCTACCGTCTCTCTCTCTCTCTCTCTCTATGTGGACTTTGCCAATAAAGGTCTTTTCACAGCTCGGTCAAACATGATCACCTGCGTTTCTCCTCTTTGCGGGCCCGCTTGCTTTCCCGCGCAAGATCGTTCTCCTGCCAAATTGTACTACTACTGAGCGGTACCAAAGTGATGATGCACTCTGTCACAATACTACACTACTAAACCTACTTGGAAATTGGTGTACTGGCCAAAACGCTGCTGGTATGGCGCAAGGCCAGGAAAAGCATTGTTGCGCTGTGTTGCGCTTCACATCGCCTTGTCCTTGTCCTCCTTCGAGTTCGTCTTCTCTGGAGCTTGCCTGTGTCAGGGTCTACCATCCAAGTGGTGCCTTCAACAAACGAAAAGGAGAAAACCGGAAGAGCCACTCAAAGTCAAAGCAGCTTGCCAACCGCCGTCTCCACATGCAACCATGAGACCTGGGTGTGACAGGTCCAAATGGATTTCGAGCTCCAGCCTGGCGGATGCATGGACCCCTTGGCCCTTGACCAACTGAAGTCTGATTCTTTTCGTCCATCTTCACCCACTTCTCATTTGACAAATTACATAGTTATGAATCTGAGAGTTGTCTTGCAGGCAATGTCCTTGATTGGACAAGACACTCGATAGAGGCACGGACACAGGGACAGACTATTGGCAGATAAGTAGCTCTTAAACTTCAGCAAGCAAATAAAATCAGAAACAAGAGCTGGCAAGTAACAAAAGCCTTTGGAGGAGGTTGCTCTTCTTCTTTGTCCTGAAATTCCCGTGTGTCCCGCATGAGCCGTATGACCCAAATTGATGTGATAACATACATATAATACAAACATACACAATGAAGATCACTGAAGTTGCTCACAAACATGTGAGAGGTTGAAAAAAAAGGCAAAGCCCACGCTGACGCCGAACTGGCGGCCTTTTGGCCGGTGTAAGGTCCAGTCCTTTTGCTTCGTTTGTACCTCCTCTTTTGGAGCCTTGCAAGTTGGGACAATCCAGTGAAACAGAAAAGTGCAGTGTGCCAATAGAGTGAAATAGTTCTGGGAAAAGTTTCACCACGCCTTGTCCTCCTCATCTTCCTCTGGCTCCAATTGCTCCTGTCACCCATCACCCCTCGTTGAAGGCATACAAGTCCAAGTCCATGTCCACCAGCCACAAGCTGTCCTCATCTGAGTCCAATGCCTGAAGCAAAACAAAGGTTTGTCGAGGCATCATGTTGACTGGTTGTGTCTAAGGCCACAACTCTCCTAGCTTGCTGTTTCCTGGCGACGTGGAAGTGTGCAATCCCGTAACCCTAGATCTGTACTAACAAGAAGCTAGGCGTCGCTTTGCTGTGTCACCTTTTTTCGATGAGCGAAACAAAACCCTTTCTTGGCACTCGCCTCCGCCATTCCCGGACGAGCTTTTGCTTGCGCTCCTCTTCGGCCCTCCGTTTCTTCTCCTGACCGACTGAGCTTCGCCCCGCTTCGGCGTGGCCACCCATAATCGCAGCCCACCTCCTCCTGCCGTCGGAAGAACTCAGCCTCATCGGCCGCCATCCTTCGCCGCCTTGGCGAGCAAAAGCCGGTACCCCCAGGTTGCTGAGAAAATTGGTCAGATTGCCCTGCAGTTGTTGCAAATCCTTCTATCACTCTGTATAAATGTTCACCGACGTGGACGTCATCTGACTTGTGCGAGCTCAGGCAGGCTCTCATCTGCTTCTCTGCGCTTCTCCTCTTGCAAGAATTCATGCACTTCGTCCTGTTGGGAATATGCTTGCACAATTGAGAAACAGCATGAGGGACTGGCATCAAAATGATGCACGTCTCTGGACTTGGAAGAAAGCTCCAATCACTGTCTAAGTTGGAAAAAGTAAAACACTAACATATTTTTATGAGGCATTATGAGGCTATGATCATCTGTCAGGAATGGCTCATCTGTGAAACAAGGGAAGTCTAGCAGGGGCAACTATGTGCCACATCCACGAAAAGGCATGCTGTACACACGGAACAAGGGAAGCAGGGCTCAAAGCGCAGGGGCGGCAAGAGACCTCCCAAGGCCCGAGCGACTGCCATGCAACCGAAGGGTCGGCTATCCACAGCAAAGGCTGGGGGCCAAAGGTGCTGTTCTCAACAAACGAAACTAAGCAGGCTCAGAAGCAGTGGACTGCGCCGTCTCCGGAATTACTGGATCTTGCCGGTCGGCAGGGACCATGCCAATGCACTGCGCCAGAATCCCAACAGGCCACCCACCAAGAGCGCAAACCATGCACCACAACCAGGGCACCAGGGCAGGAGTGCAACAACCCAGCCAAAACAACTCGTCACACCAGTGATGGACGATCAGCTCGCCACAGCGGCCACGGCAGCAGCCCAGGAGACCGGAACCAGGTCCGCCGCCTGCGCTGCAAGGAGCGGGCCGCAGCCCGGCAGAGAACAATGGCAATCTTGCGAACCATGTCGGCGAACACCAGCTCGGAGTCGCACTCCTCAGCAGCGCCAACCCGACGAGCAAGAGCATGCAACACACTGCCAGTTTCACTGCAGAGCCCTCCCTGGGCTTCAAAAACTAGGGGCTGGTAGAAGACGCCTGCCGCAGCACACTTGGCTGCCGTCTGTTGGTGAGCACGTTTGCTGGCGGCGTAAGCACTCGAAGCAGCCCAGCTCGTTCACAATAGTCCTGTACAACATGTCTCACAGTGTTGTGTACCAAGATGGCATCACCACCAGCCATGCAGGAGAGCGCATGGCGGCCCAAGCGATCCATAGGAAGACCACACATCCGCTTGTTTCCAGAGGGCCAAGGTTGCAGCTTCACACGGCGCGGTCAGGCTCCCCAACATTGACCAAGGTGGCAATCCCACCACGGGGCTGCCCGGATGGGCTACATCCCAATGGAAAAGTGGCCAATTGTCAATGCAAATTGTAGAAGACCTTGGTGGGATGAGCTGTGGGGTATATGTATTCAAGCCACCGACTCAAGCCAGGGCAGACCTCACGCATCCGAGTAAGGAACGTGTGTCTGTCAACCACATTGTGAGCATTGCCTTCATCGTAGGTGAGGAGAATACGGGAGGTGTCCTGCTCATAGCGCCGCCACCACTGCCTCGCCAGGTGGGGCATGACCTCAGCCCCAGCTGGCACACCAACGGCAAGCTGGCAAGGCAGCAAGTGTTCCCGCAAAGTGTCCATCTCAGTGCGCAGCAGCGCCTTCCCGACCAAGCGGCGTAGAGCCTCCCCCGAACAAATGGGGCGAGCGTCCGGCTCGCCAGACTTAGTCGTCTTCTTCAAGGCAGTGCCTTTGGCACCGGCAAGGTAAGGTTGGAGCTCCACAGGTGCGCCCCCACCAGCCAACAAATTCACCAAACCAGTCAGCACAGTCGTGAAGGCACGAGCATCTGGCCCATCACAAGCGAGCTGCCGCAGAAAGTCAGGGCGCAGCCCGCTGGGTCCAGCAGCCACCCCTTTCTTAAAGCTGCGAAGCGCCGCGAGCACCTGTTCTTCACCGAGCTCATTGGCATCAGCCGCCGGCAGTCGGCGAGAAGCGTGCTGCTGGGCGGGCGCAGCAGGGAACTTGGAGCGCATAATGCCCTCAGTGTGGGCGGTGTCTGGAGCAAGGCCTTCACTGCAAAGGCGTTGCACCGCTTGCCCAGGGAGCCCCGACGGGCAAAGCTGTCAGCAGCCTGCCGGAGACGCTGCGCGGCAGCATCGGCATCCTCGGCATCACCACGGCGAGGGCGACGTCCAGGCCGGCCCCCCCGAGTCGCCTCATCCCAAAGGGCGCGGCGTTCCCCAGCGAGCCATCGCTCCACGCAAATGCGGTGCACACCACTATTGCAGCGACGGCTGACAGACCGGCCACAGTGCGGACATATGGCCAGGTTGTGACGCTGCAGCCACTGCTGGGGTGGCATGCCCGGCAGGGCCCCCAGAAGATGGGCATCCACATGCACTCGAAGGGAGCCAAGGCTTTGCCAACCTGCATGAAGATCAGCCCGGCTGGCGTGGCAAGACGACACCGGGCAATGCTCCACCTGCCCCATGTCATCGTCCACCTCAGCAGCAGGGCCGGTCGAGGCGGACGCAGACGCAGCAGAGCGCCGCGGGCGTTCCGACCCGACCGGTGTCCCCGGCTGCCGGGTCACGCCCGCTTTGGGGCCCGCATCGGCCATGGCATGTAAAGGCTGATCTTTCTTCTGCTAGTTCTGAATGATGACTCCAGTCTTGATCATCTGTTTAATTTTTATTATATATTTGTCAAGGACTATTGATGTAAATTGAACTCAACTCTGATCCAGCCTCAGCTCGTTCCATGAGTTCGGCCCTTGGCGAATCACAATTCAGTATGTGTTCTCACTGAAGGAGAAGTCCGAGAAAGCTGCTCAAATTCTTCGCGTTGGCGTTCTTCTGAAAGCGCGATGGCAGCCTCAACCTCGGCAACAGGAACCGCAAGGAACTTCTTCCTAGTATTGAGAGGTTTCGTCACGGTTCCATCCAAGCACAAAAGCACAAGGAGTTTACATGCACCTGTGCATATGTCCTTCGCCGTTTCTGGGACATCTTCTTGCAAGCTCCCCACCACACGGCTCTCTTGGTCAGCCTTTTTCATGGAAGCCCGTTCTGTCTCTCGCATCTTGTACTCACGATGGAGCCGCCCTTAGGCACTTAGCCAAGCTGTGCTCTAAATCAAGCCTCTCATGAAATGAAAACAATCTTTCTTACCAAAAACAGCCATGTCCTAGGACCTGTTGTGATGTAGAACTGCTCACCAATGTAAGAATCCCTCTATCTGCCCTATGTTTCCAACCTGAAGAAGAAAAAGGAAGAACCGAGAGCATCGCGTCGCTCCATATCGATGCGAGCCTGGCGGTGATGGAGGAACTTGTGGCTGTGCTCACAGGATGAAATGCATGAGGGCAAATCATCTCAAAACATCGCTCTTCGCACTTGGGAAACACATAAATGACGAAGTATGATGTTGGAGCGCAAGGCACACTGGAAGTCGAAGTGAACAAAACCCGCAGTATTTTATCATGAGAATCCCACTTCTGCCAAGCTAGTTCATTCCTACCGATTTGCACATACAAACCATACTAAACGGATCTAAACGGCACCATCCACTACGGGCCCAATGCAGGGGCATCGTTGTGATGCTTGGCCTTCCGATGACGATATAATTACTGCTGAATACTGGATGGATCATGATGGATCTATCGCAGGTGCCCTTAAAGGAAAGCTCCCACCTGCTCAGCTTTGCGGGTCTCGCGTTCTGCTTTGGCCATAGCCTTGGCCCGGGCAGTGCATCAATGCTAAAAGCCCACATACGCTGCACACAGATGTGTCAACCGTCCCACCTGTCAACCGTATCAACTGCTGTCAAGTGCATGGCTCGAGTTTCCATTTCTTCCGCCTGCAGAGTGGGGCCCAACAAATGATTTTGCTTTGCGCTTGTGCCGCTTGTGAAGAGCTCCGTCTGAATAAAACCAAATACCAACGAATCCTGTTGTCTCCGCTCCTCCTTGATCAGCTTCAGGTACTGACGCTCTGCATGAACCACATACTTCTGCCATGCCTCACTTCTCCCACAATGTTCTTTTCACAAAAGGTCATCATTGAGGGACTGGCGTCGGAGTCTGCATCGGCAGCCGCCATGGCCTGAATCGATCTGCGTCAACTTGTTTTTACTCCGCACTGCTTGGAGACACTATACACAAGAATGCTCTCTTAGCCCAACTTAGCCTTGTGGAAACAACTCGACTAGAATATTTTCTGAGGCACCAGGCAGCCCGCTCCATGCCGGGGATCATTGGTGCCTGTCTCTTGCGCTCTGCCTCATGCATGTAGCCAGCCAAAAACAACATCGATCATCCTCGTCAGCTGTGAAATGAACCACACCTCATTACTATTATTGCAGCAAGGAACGAACGAAGCACCATGAAGCACCATGAATCAAGCAACCTCTTTCCTTCTTGTCTTTCAAGGATAACTTTGTCAGGCAAGGAAGGTCCCTAGGGCAACACCCACTAGCTTTCCTTGCTTTCCTTTCGTTTTTCATCCGATGTGCTGCAAGCGTGGTGACGTGAAAGCATCAAAAGCAGCACTCATCGTCGGTTGACGAGCGTGCGGAACTAAAGCTGTGAGCGAAGGCTTTGGTTATCTTTGGTTGATGGGCATCCCAACGTGTTGGGTAATCCTTTGTTCCTAGTAGCGCACATTGCTCCTAGTAGTACGGCCAGGAGCCACTAGTAGTTTCTTGTTCCTAGTAGCGATGCCAGGAGCCCCTAGTAGCGTCCGATCTCTCCTAGGAGAATCAAGTCGAATCCCATCGAGACAAGGACCTGCCTCGACCAAGGCCATCATCATTCGCCTCCTTTGCTTGCTCAGTGTCGTATCCCTCAAGGATTCCGCAGCTGCCTGATAGGAAACATGGTAATCATTGCCTCAGTTTCCACTCAACAAGTCCTGTGTATGTCTGTATAACATTGTATAACTACGTTACTAGGACATGCCAGCGTTTCATGGGGCGAACGTGGCTTGCACCTGCAGCCGCTTTCCACGATCGAAGTCTTTCTCAACCTGTTGAGAAAGACCAGCTACTTTGCCTTACGAATTCTAGTTCACTCTGATACTCCTGAAGATCATCCCCAACTCTCATGTACTGGCAAGAAAAGCAGAGCTCAGCACCTGTATCAGCACCGCCGCTGCGAAATCTGCGTTTGCAGCTTCCCACATGTTTCGCCGGGCCGCAAACATGGCAGCCTTCCATGGGGCGCGGAAGCAATGATTCGGACAACGTGGTTGCTTGTCCACACCTGCCGCTGCTGCTCAGCCTCCGCAATCACAGCCTTGGACAACAGTTTCAAGAGCACTTTCAGAAGTCGACGACAGCACAACGAAATCAAACTTGGCAGGCCATCACATGATGCTTTGGTTCTGGGGTTGTGGCTTGTCGCTGCCTCTCTGCCTCCTCTGCTTCCGCCTTCCTCTTACGTTCAGCCTGACAACCCCAGCAATCGTCGCCACAGCAAGGCACAGCGGCGTGCCTCGGCTGCTTGCGCCAGAATCTCCTGCTCCTTGGGTCCAAGAAAATGCCTGCACTTGAGAGCAGATCTCAGATCATTTCCAAAACTGAAAGAGTCATCTTGTCAAGGTGAGTCAGAACATCTTGTGAGGTCGCAAACAAGTCAGCTGCACTCGCACTCCAATGTGACCCCGTCGCTTGGATTTTGTTGGAAATGCGCCTTGAACAGGACACAAAAAAAGAACTCCAATATTTAATATAGTGCACCAAAGCACTCAAAGCACTCGGGATGTTCTGGGATGTTAAAAAGACTTGAGCTTAACTTCAGAGAGAGGATGGACCGGGCCCAGCGCTGCCGCTTGAGAGTGTTGCGCCAAATCTTCAAGCCGTACCCTCACGATACCTCAGAAGGCATACTGTAATTCATAATGATGCTGATGCAAAGCACAAAAACCACCTACTAGGAGCAAGGACGCTACTAGGGGCTCCTGGCCTTGCTACTAGGAACAAGAAGTTACTAGGGGCTCCTGGCCGTACTACTAGGAGCAAGGACGCTACTAGTAACAAGACCTGCACCTTCACGACAACAATTCCATAGAGTTGCAACGAATGAATTCATTCAGGCAGTGACGCTCGCCCTGATCATTGCTGGCAAACGGCTGCATGGCCTCCCACTTCAAGGCATCAAACAAACTAACGGGCTCAATGTCGGACATTGCAGGGCAGCAAAAACACAAGGTAGCCCCAAGGCACCTGGACTCCGCCAAAAGGAGTGAAGAGCATCTGCAATTGCAGCGCACTCCAGTCCCAAGGCCTTGACGGAAGGCTCAAATACTTTGACCTTCACTTTGTGTCTTGCATGTTCTTGCATGACCATTCCTGGATGGGTAACAGGGAACAGCCCTGTTCTGTGATCCAGGTCCAGCAAACATGAAACAGCAAGCCGTGCAAGCGCGCCCCCTTTTTACCAGCGAGGTACAAATTCGCCGCCAATCGCCACTGGAAGTGAACGGCACCGTGCGTCTTCAAGAGATTCGGACCGCAAACGGGAAGCCAGTCAGGTGGTTCCTCCATGGGCACCGAATGATCCATGTCCTCAGGCTGGGTCAAATCCATGAGCTCCACCCTTTGGGCCGTGCATGGTTCCTCTTGAAGCCGTTGGAGACAAGTCTCACAAAGCAAATGTCGAGCAGTTGGAGCCCAACTGCAAATGGGTGTATAATTCGAAAAGTCGGGTTGTACACATTCTGAAGTCCGCGGAGTACCCTTCGGCCAAAAGTTGTAAAGAACGACTGAGCGCTTCTGGCCACTACGCACTTCCTCACTACAGTTTGGCAAAGCGACCGCACCATGCCGCAACTGTCCTGGAAATGCGAAGCATCGATTCACCTTGCTTGACGCAGCGCAGCCATGCTGGGGCAGGACAGGATTGTGTCTGCCGGATTGCGCTTGCTGATTGAGGACCACTGTGGGACCCCCCACATCACTCAGAAACAGTACAGAAGTGAACTCTGGGCGGAGGTCGCTATACGCTTCATTCAGGAATGGATGAGTGTCATAGTGAAAGTGGGCACCAAGGCTTGGTGCTTGAGTTCGACACCACCATTCAATGTCCCAATCCTGCGCTCCTAGCAATGTCTGTAGCTTCCTTGCTGCCACCTCTGGGGCTGTCCTTGAGAGGGTTTTCCGTGGTTTTCCTACCTCTCCTCAGGCCTGCTGCCTCCAGTCATTTCGTTCCAATTCACAACATCAAGGTCTTGGGTCTTACGGAAATCTTGGGGTGAACCAAATACCTCTATATAAATACCCCTTATGACTCATGACGAGTTTAAGAGCAACAACCCTGACTTGACACCGTCCTTGGAGTTGAGTCGCTGGGAAGCCAAAACCCCAACAGGCGTTGCGGGCTTTTGGCTCTCCAAATAGCGAAGTCATCGGCACACTGCTGGAGCGCCCGCAAAAGCGCTGGACCGAAGACGTTGTCCCAAACAAACACCGATGAAATGGATCGATCAAAACCATGATCTTCACCATGATGTCGATGTTTCTCTGCGAAATCAGCCATCCCCATCATCTCTTTGCTTGGCCGATTCTCAGCTTTCGATTTGTCCGGCCTTGTCTGGATTGCGTTGCTGTGCGCCAGCAGGTGCTGAAGTCTTTCATCCAGCCGAATGGTTTTAGCTAGGGTGCATAGAATCCTCTGCTTGTTCTGTTGAAAGGGAAATCGCAATGAATCAGGATACGCCTCTTTGAACATATTAGATTGGTTGGTTGGTGATGCAAGAAATGTGAAAAACGTTGCAGCATTTCTTGCATCATGGTTGTCTTTAGGGAAGTGTATATCGCGAATTCTCCTTTAACAAATTGGATGGTTGGATGCCCATCTCAAATACACTGAGTAAGGTGCGGGCAGTCTCTGTCGTGAAGTGACGTGCGTGTGTCATGATTGGGGTTTGCGGTTGTTTGCCAAGTCACCCTTCTTGACCACACTCTTCTTTGCCCTGACATGCCCCACGCCATTGCCACTGAAAATCTTGGACACCTTGCAGGAGCGTGCCCTGAACTTGAATTCAGCGGTGAACTTCCTACTTTCGCAGCACTTTCGCGGCTTGCGTTTCGGCTTTCTTGCGCTACATGGTTCTGCAAGACCACTTATCAACATCTCTTCGAATTGTTCCACGGGTGGTTTTGGGTCGCCTGGAAGCGCCGATGAGCTTCGCCAAGCTTTTGCAGATGCCTCCTTCAGCGAATCATCTGTGCCTGCCCCATGCAAACCACTTGCAGTCAGCTCGTGGGCCACCTCAAGGTTGCGTCTCACACTCCATCCCAGCAAATCAATAACAAAATCCGAAAAAGGCCTGGTGGAAATCATGCACCCATCTGTTTTGAAACCGCTATACGCTACAGGATGCTACAAGCGGATCCTTCAAGTGTGCAAAGTGTCTGCTTTTTGCAGGCTTTATGAACGAAAAGGCAGAAATGCTGCATAGTTAAGCATTGGAAGATTCAACAATGAGAAGATTTCTAAGGAAGGTTTCTACCCGTTTGGAAGGTTTGTACCAATTCCACCCAATTCCTTGGGACCTTTCAGACGTTTTGGACTCCCGACTGTCCTACCTCTGCCCAGCAGCTTCGCTTCAGCATGCGGCAACGCAGCGTTCGGGCCAACAGCCGAGCATCGGACGCTGCCTGGAGGCCAAGCACACCGCTCCTTAGGTGACTTGGTCACGCAAGAAAAAGCAGGCCGTGAAGAAGTGGCGAAGCAGAAGAGAAGATATGGGTTCCTGAATACAATCATTGAAGATCTGGTTGATGTGGGTGACCAGTATCCTTGAACAAAGGGGGGCCTCGAACTGCCAATTCTCCGCTCTTGCTGTCGGATCTGTGGGGGGCAACAGGTTCAAACGCAGAATGGGACCAAACCTAGTAGTCACTGTACTTACACTGTACTTACATGAATAATCTTAAATTGTCCTTCTTGGGTCCGCCCTGAAACCTTCTTTCAATCCCTTTTTCAAACCCGTGAGCTGGCGCTTCTCACTCCCTGTGACTAAGAACTGCACGGAACCAGCTGCTGCAAGCGTTCAAAAGCGAGGAAAGCAGCGTCAAAATCCTGAAGCTGAAAGCGATGCCAGGAGCCCCTAGTAGTGTCCTTGCTCCTAGTGGTAAGGCCAGGAGCCCCTAGTAGCGTCCTTCCTAGTAGCGATGCCGGAGCCCCTAGTGGCTGAATGACCATACTCCGTGGAGCCACGATCACCAGACTACACAGTGTAAGCCCGCGTCTCAAGTCGTCGAAAAGGATTATCCTTCCCGGTCCCCCAAACCGGGTTTCTAGATATTTGTAGTAATCAAGAGTGGCTGCTACATACCAACTCATACAACAAGATCTTAAGCCAAGAAGCCCCACTTCTAGTGGCATAGTCCTGGTCAGAGCAATGACACTCAGCGACACAAAGGACTCAACGGCTACATTGACATGCCCCTCACACTTGCCAACGGGAGATGTCCTTTTATGAGAAGGTATAGCTTACAAATGTCTACGAAGGCTCTCTTCGTAGACGACCGTCACTAGCAGCGTTCTTGTTGTTCGATGCATTCCAAGATTCTGCTAAATAGGGCCAAATCTCAGGTCGTTCCCGACAGCTCAAAGCCTGGCTCATCCGAAACGTGGAATCGCACGCTAGGCTGCTAGGCCGCTAGTCTTCGAAAACAGCACAGAACCCAATCGCGCCACTGATTTGGTTTCCATACCAACTTCTGCATGGAAAGTTGGTCTCACGTCTTTGACCCCTCACCTTGCGCATGCAAAGAACCATCTCTTCATGCTCGTGTGCAATGTCATGCACCACGCCCAGCAGGTACCAAACTTCCCCACTGGAGTTGACGTCCTGATGCAAATGAAAAAGCCATCCCCAGTTTCAGTGCTTTTTTGCAAAACATAATGAGACTCCTTTGGATCCTTGCCCACCAGTGGCTCTTGATAGCTCAACTCACTTGGATCCCGAGTGTCCTCTGTTCCCTCCGCCAAGGCCTCCCTGCAGAGCTCGCCGGCGGCCCGGACGTGGCCCGCCGCGAGCAGCTCCGGCACTGCATCACGAAGGCCATCCCGCACAGGTGGTCGTGGGCGCTTGGCCATGACAACGGAGTCGCAAAAGGGATGTTCGGACCAAACGCTTTGGCACCTGTCAGAATCACCTGTCATGTGAACAGATATGATGGATGGCTGGCTGATGTCAAATTTGCTCCTTCCCACCATGAAGGAGAAAATATGTAAAACATGTAAAACATGTAAAAAAATTGGAGACAGGGCCAAAGGTAGCCGGGCTTGGACAAGCATTGATTCGGAAGATGTCCGTGCGACTCCGGCTCCATCTTGTTTGAATTATGTTCAAACCTACACGTGACACGCGCTGCCCAACGCTTAGTTTCACTTCCACATTAGTCCGTGCACGCATGCCTGCAGCATCCACAGTTTTGCCAACCATGGGCGCACCACGCAACGAACGAACTTGTGGAGAATTTTTATATTGTAATGCATCGTCTGGAGCTAGCACCCAGAAAGGAACTAAGTTCTCCTCTCTAACTTGCAAAGGGTATTGCGAATTTTAGAGGGTGTGGTTGGCTACGGACTAGGCAGGACTTGAACCCCTGGACGGGGGGAAGCCCTGGTCCATGCCTTTCAAGATTGCATGTTGCGCTTGTTGGTGGTTAACCGGGTTGAGGGCTACACACAGGCAAAACCCTCACTACTCCATCCATCAGTCTAATGGGGCCACCGCCCCTCTTGCTCCGGTCTAGTAACAAGGGCATCGCTATTCATTAGGAACAGGTGCATCGCTATTAGTAGCTATGTTCCTAGTAGCGCTGCCCTCGTTGCCAGTAGCTTCTTGCTACTAGTAGTAATGATGCCCTTGTTCCTAGTAGCGACAGAATGGATGGTCGGATGGTCTGAGTTTGTGGCACTCCGCGAATCACCAAATGCGTGTCGCTGGGATCCAGCTCACGCATCTCGGGGGCGACCTGCCATACACAGTATATGGAACATTCATGAACATTCTACCAAAATGACCACATTGGGTGCTGTTTCGATTGTCCATCTAGTCCAGGATCACAAGGACACGTTCCTAAACACCGGTCAACCTGGATCCATCACAGGTATGTTCAACGAAAATACGGCCGTTGGCAAGTGGGATCCACAAAACAAGGAACTGCCTAAAGACCACAGATTGCCACATGCACAAACCACATCAGCTCCAAGAAAAAGGTTGTCTCAACATGAAACGAACAACATGATATATACCAGACTCACCAACCCACATGAGTCCTCACCTCAACCACTTCTGCCACCGGGGGTGCTGGAGCCTCGGTTTGTGCACACGAAGCAGGTCCTAACGTCTGAGGTTTGCTATGTTCGGCTGGGGTCTTTACGCTCCAAGTGTCCCAGGTGGTCTGTGGCTCTTCCTTGCTCAGCCGAGTGTTGTGCGAAGAATGGGCTCCGAAACAATCACATGGGGCGCCCCACGTCACTGCTGGATCTTTCCCAGCCTCAAGAACCATCTGGTTCCATCCCAAGTGAGTGGTTTATGATCAGGATGGTTCAACCACTGGAAGTCGCTGCTACACTAATCTGAGTTCTAAACGAAGATTGCGACCTGTTTGTTGCAGCTTAATCTTTGGCCCTGCAGAGCTCAGCAACTCAGGAGAAACTTCACACTCTCAGCGAGTTGCTGGATTCGCTTCCTCCGTCCATTGCAATCCAAGAGTCTTTCTTTTTTCGGTTTTTCTCCTGTGGCCACAGCCAAGGAAGAGGAATCAGGGAATCACATCTGCCACTTCATCGTCCTTGAAAATTGGGATCAACCTAAGTCCACGAAGGTTGGGCTTGAATTTATCATTGTAACTCAAGTCCAAGTGCAACACCTCTGCGCTGAGAAAGGCTTGTGCTGCAACCGCACCTGCCAGGTTGGAGGGATGACATGAAAGACCTGGAACTGCAATACCAACGAAAACCGTGAGATTCCATTCGCCTTCACTTGGCAATCCACCGAAGCTGGGAAGTCCTGCCACAGGCTAAGGCTAGCAAGGACGCTACTAGGTGGAGGCCATGGCTACTAGGGCCTAGGGTGGAGGCCATTCCTACTGGTAGCAAGAAGCTAGTAGTAGCTATATCTATTTGCTAGCCCAAATGATGACCAGGTCACTCCGATCCTGGTGGAGCTGCTATGAGTTGAGCAAGCCTGACAGCCACCTGCGGGTCAGGTCTCTCCCGTCAGGAGGCAACACAACCGGAGCGAAAAAGCGAGTTCGGCCTCCTCGGGGTTGACAATCTCAGCTCGAAAGTGCTCATGGGCCTGAGTGTCAGATAGATTTCATCAGATGTCCTTAAGTGCTGTACAGAAACAACCTGCTAGATAGTAATATACATTGTTTCCAAACGACCCCAAGTGAGTTGTATATATGCACTTCGAGAGGATTTGCCAAAATCCACTTTTGGGGTCGGCCCCCGACTACGACCATCTAGAAGCTTCCAAAACCAAAAAATGTTCCTTTTGGGGGGGTAGGCTGTGAGGGGGTCGACCTAGGATCCAGGAAGCCACTAATAGCTTCGCACTATTCATCTGGTTCCAAGACTATTAGGGAAACTTAACTATATATTTATTTCTCAAGTGCTCGAGACAGATTGATTCGGATCTTGGGCTTTGGCAGCAGCAGGGTGTCCACCGTTCACCTCTTCCGGGCCTGTGGCTACAACACATCAGCAACAAACTCGCAAGGCTATCTTCGAGCAGCCGACTCCTCCAATCCAGACCATCCAGCGCTTGAATTGCCTTCTCGGCATCTTTCTCCTCCTGAGAACAGTTCCGTAGGCGCACCTAGTGCTCCAACTCCCCCGCAAAACTCACTATCCAATTGTCCAAGAGCAACAGGGTCTGATGGACAGAAGCAACCAGTCACATGACATGGTGCGGTGCCAACCCCCACATTCTTCCCCACATCGCCTTGAAGGCCACAGTGGCCACCAACCCCAATGTGCTCATGGCACCTGTCATCTTGGCGGAGCAAAGGCCATCCAACGCGTTTGGAAACACGTCAATGACATGTCCAATCGAAGCTGTAGCAGCAGCGCCTGCAGTTTACCAAGATATACATATATATAATATATAGACTCAAGCATACTCAAGCCTTTGACCATTGACCATGTAACTTTGACCATGTAACTGGGCGCGGATGACCATCCAGCAATTTGGGCTTGCTGGCGAGTGGCCCAAACCTGGCCAAGTCAAAGAGTGGCATGCCATGCCGTTGAATTTGACGCAACAAAGCAAGAACGCAAGGATCCCGGGACATGACACCGCATTTCTCAGGAATATCTGCAAATTGAATGTATCATAGTCTGCAAAGAATGCCAGAAGCTCTTATTGAGCAAGGCTGAAATCCTTGCTCCGAGCTGCGGCAGCACCTACAGCGCTTTGAAAAATACTAAAGCAGCACTGCCTACTGCAACACCTGCCGTCGTCACACATTTCCCTTCTCTATTATACATCATCATATCACCCAGGGATGTTGGCAACTGTGGCTTCAAAATCAAAAGACTTGAGCCTCATCGGCTAGCCATGACAGGGGGAAGTTTCGAAGCCTCGCGGTGGAATTCTCCAAGCTACTAGTAACAAGGGCATCGCTACTAGGAACATGTGCATTCCTACTAGCAAGAAGCTACTAGTTTAGTAGCTATTTGCTACTAGTAGTAATGCACATGTTCCTAGTAGCGGAATTCTCCAAGCTTCACATTGCCACTGAAGCTCAAGGCTCCAACAAGACCGTCACTTTGGATCGGTCCTCACAGCCGAGACCCGATGAAGAAGGAAGGAAAATGAAGGAAAGGATTGTGTTTAGGCCTTTTAAACGGGGGCTGATTGAAGGCGAAAAATGCCTTGAAACATGAAAAAGCATGTGGCACCTCCAAAGTGCTCTTGAAATGAAAGAATCCATGACAACCATCCATTTGGATGTTCCCCTATGTTGGCCTCTGCAATCGATGTGTTTTTGGAAAGAAGACCCAGTCCTCGTCACACTCCTCACCCTCACTGGGCCTGAGGCAAAGGAGTTGTCTTCGCGCACTACTTTGGGGGAAAACCTTGGGCCTTGAGGTATGTAATTCTGGAAATTGATGCTTCAATACGATCTATGTCTGCAAGCGCTGCCTCATCCGTACCACAAACTGCTTTCTAGGGATCCGACGGTTCAGTGGGCGGCTCCGTCTCGCTGTCCTCCGCTTTGTTCGCTTCTGCAGCTTCGTCCTCATCCACAAACTCGAACTCAAAGGCTTCCTGACGTTCCAACTCAACCCATGGGCGTTCGGCTTGTGAAATCTTCAAATCTCGATCCACCTCCGAAGAACTTGGAACTGAGTATATACTTCGTCGTAGCTGCATCATGCTGAAACCATGTTCCTTACGTTCAAACATGTTCTGACACTGACCACCAAAAATGGTTGCCCATTCTTTATTGATGTTCATGCAAATCGCGAGCTTGCGATTGTTTTGAACCTGATCAACGCAAACATATATTGGGAAACGTTAAACGAAGTGCTAACTTGGCCCAACTGACCCTTGGTCTTTGATCACTTATCGTGTAAAGTGACACTTCCCAGAAGAGCCACGTTTGGCTGAACATCTTTCATTCAACATATGCCCCTTGACATACTTCATATGAACACGGCCCCGCCTTGGTTGCTCAAACAACAAACCATACACGCCGGCCTCTGTCTCGGGCTGTGCAGGCTCTTCGCGCGGCTTTTCCTTTGGCTTCTCACGAAGCTTCCGCTTGGACCCATCTTGCTGCCTCAAGCGCCACACTATTTATACATGTTGCAGCTCCACACTCGAAACTTCAACTCTGTATACTCAGGCCTGGATTGGGAGTCCACCTTCGTTCAAAACAACCTCTCAAGCTTGGCTCTAGACTGGCTCCAGAGGGCCACCACTGCCGAGCTCAGCATGTCCTCCACTGAATCGGCTGTCACACGTCAAGTAGACAAGCGAAAGCCTGAGCCAAAGCCCCCTCAAAATCTGGCACACCCGGATACTCATTCCTACGGAACCCACGACCACGAAAGGAAAAGGATGATACACGTGAAAGCCCAATCGGTCGTGAGTCTGAAACCATCGCACTCCTCCAACTGCACGGAGAAGCGCTCCCAAATGTGTGCTGCTCGGCCTCAAGCATGGGGCTTGAGTAAACAGATTCGCGCATGTGTCAGTGAATTCGTGTCTCGTCACTAGCTTCACATGGCACCGCGACAAGAGCATCCGTGTAGTTCCGATATATACAGAGTATAAATATATGTTTTTTTTTCTCGGACCTTTTTCAGTCAGCTTCCTCTGGCCTTTTTGGCCTGAAAACCATTGGCAGGGTCGTCTGCGTGTTCTGAGAACGACTGCATGGCCGTTGCAACGGCCGGCTGGCCTGCCATTCTTCTCCCTTCTGAAGTGCGTGCCCATTGCAGTGCTTGCAATAGACCTTTTGGCCCTTTCTCCACAGGCTATGGGTAGGGCTGCCAGTCCACCGTGGGTTTGGTTGCCACGGTCCATACCAACATGGTCCTTCATGGAGCTGTTGGATTTTTTCTCTGGCTGAGTTCTTGAGAACTCTGGCACTGCACTTTTGACACACGATGTAGTTGGCCTGGAGCGAGAAGAGGTGTCCATCATCTGGTTGCTCCGCAAGGATTCTGGTGATGTAGTCCTGCTTCGACTTCATGGGTGCCTCGCCTCCTGTAAGGGGAAGGCCGCTGGCCACTTCACATGCCTCATCTTTGGCAACTTTCAGCACTTCCATGGGCATCCTTTGGTGGATCTGCTTCTTGCAGTTGCGACATTGGAGTCCTCGGCCCTTCGATGTCCATTGGTGACCACCTTCATGTCCTGCGACTCCAATTTCCAAGTAGAGGTGCTTCTTGGCGTCCCTTGCTTTCTGTCTCTGTTCTTTACCAGTGGCCTTCTGCCCGTAGGAGAAAGCGGATGCGGGCTGCTGCCAAAGGAGCATATTGGCCATACCTCTGATCCTGCTCTTGCAACTCTTGCTCGATGGCCACTGGTTGTTTCGAGATAGCGAATTCTTTTGCTGCCCGGTTTGCATCTTTGAACCTGTTGCGGAGCGACAGGCCTGTGCTTGGCACGGTGTTGGTCTGCTGCTGGGTCACGCTTAGGGCCCGAATGCGCTGCCGTTGGTCCCACGTCACCAGTTCAGCAAGGTCGTGAAAAGTCTCATGGTGTCGACCTTTGACCCACCCTTGCCAGGCTCAACTGAGAGCACGTGCGCCCTCACCATCGACTGCAAATCCACATAATGAGCAATCACGCGGAGCCCGTAGTACCAGGCTCTTGCAACCGACTGCTTGCCTGGCAGCACCGTGCTGATTGCCCCCATGCGGTACATCTCTCCGGCAAAAAGAGTGTGATGCAGGAGTGTGACCACGTAGCGCTTCGACCGACTGTCTCTGCTTTGCGGTGGCCAGCCCTATTGTGATGGCATCATGCGGCTGCAGGGTGATCTCATCCAAGCCCGTCCAGGAGCCCCATGCCTGGATGGCCGCACCACCTGTGGAGATCTGGTATGGCGGCCGTTGCACTAGGCCTTGTGCCCAAAACTCTCTGTTGATGCCTTGCTCCAACTCTGTGGCTACTTCACTGGGAAGCGGTGGGGAATGACGGTTCGTCTCTTTGCATTGCCAGAGCAAATGAATGGCATCAGCTGCGCAGCCACAGTGTGGGCATTGAAGGCGTTTACCTTCCTGCCCTTCTGCCATCTTGGTAAAGATTGCCCCTTGATGCCATGTTTGCAACGCTGTCCGGACCTTGGTGTTGGATTGCTTGTCCAAACGTCGCCAGGGTAGCCAGTCAAGATGATTCTGTACTTCTTGTAGGTCATGCCGCTTCTGAATGCTCTGGGCGCGTTCTCGTTGTTGCGCTCGCCGGAGCTCCTCCACCAGATAGTACCAGCTGGACTTCATGTTGAGGGTGTACTCGTCCTCACCATTGTGGCCTGGCTTCGTCCAGAGGTCATAGGTGTCAGTGGTCCACCCATGGTCATGGAGGTAGCAGATCAAAGCGGCTACTGGTCCACGGACGACTTGTGGCCTGCTGGAGCCTCTCTTTGGTGACCTTCCATGCTTTCTCCATGTCTCTTTGTAGGTGTTCCGGCCAGTTGCCATAGAACCGGTGGTAGACCTTGATCTGCTCCACGAAGGCCTCGTACGCGGGGTCCTTGTGTCTGGGTTGCATGTCGAACAGGATGTCGAGGTTCCCGTGCGTTGCAGGCCCATTTGCCTGCCCATTGCTGCTTTGAGCTTCTGTCGGATCTGAGGTGCCAGGCCCATGGCTTGGTGTCCCCAGCTGACGCCTGCTTGTATGCTGCCCTTGTACAACCGTAGTCGAACAGCTCGTTGAGGGATCTTCAGGATGTTCATTTTCCTGGTTTTTCCTCCTGCCTTCTTCCGGCGTTGTTTCATCGTCTTGATGCGCCTCAACCTGCTGGCCGTGCAGGCCACCAGTGCAATGGGTCTTTCAATCTCATTGGATTTGGGAAGCATGGCCACCAGAGAAACCAACCATTGATTGGGCACGGTTCCCGTGGCCTCAACTTGATGATAGAAAGCCACCAGCTCCTTCATGGCTGTGTAGGGGAGTGCTTTGAGGAAGTCGAAGCCAACTCCATCCAGACCTGGAGCTTTGTTGGATAGGAGCTTGATGGTTCTCCATAAGTCCTTTTCTGCAATGGGTTTCATCTTGGCTGCGTGTTCTTTGCCTTTGTCTATCATGGCCGGCAGCGAGGTGACTTTGCGGTGCTCCTGTCTCTGTCCCCAATGGCTGTCCATTGTTGCATTCGTTGTTCCATGCGTTCCTCTCTGGGTAGTTGTTGAAAAGGTCTCAAAAACGGCTGTTCTTCTTGCTTCAGGCTGCGAAACAAACCTCTGTGTCCCTTGAGGGTAGCATTGGCAAGCCATTCACGGTAGGTCTCTGTGTCTGCTGCTGTGCTGCTCTGGAAATGTAGCTCACGCTGTTGTTTGGCATACATCAGAAGAGCTTGTCCATGTTCTGGTTCAAATTGGCCCCATAGCATTTGGAAGAGAACCTGAAAGCCTTCAAGCTCAAATCGTCATGCCAGTGCTGAGTGATGCGCCATCCCAGTTTTTGCAGTTGTGCCAAATCACCAGGGTGCATGGTCTTCTTCTGAAGCACCTGTTGCAACCGGAGCTCCATCTGGTTCCAATAGGAGAGGCTGCCTTTCTTTCGGATCCATGGTTTGCTTGGGTCACTCAAAGGGCTTTTGCTGGTACTGCAGACGCGTGCCTCGTCCTGTTGCTGGCTTGTCCAGATGTTGTAGAACGTAGGCCTCGATCTTGCCACAGAGTGCACCTGCCTTCTTGCTGATATGGTCATCCTCCATGTCCAACCATTTGACAGGGCATTCAACTTGTTCGAACTGACCCCATTCTTTGGTCGGTTTCTCCAACTTGGTGATGTTCACCACTCCATCGTCCTTTAGCGCTGTGGTGACGGCCGAGGTGGTGTCCTGCCAGAGTTCTGCTCCCTGCATGAAGCTCCCAGCCCATGCCCACAATCTGAACGGCCCGTTGGCAAAACACCGGTTCCTAAAATTCCCCGATCGACATTGCAGATTTTGTACCACGAAGTCGAGGGAGCTGCATGTGCTTGAGGAAGGTGTTGATTGGTGAGGTTCACCAACCTGCATGTCTATATCATCATCAAGATTCCTGGAGTCCAGGGTTTGAACTCCTCCACAAAATCCAGGAAACGTAGTCTCCTTTTGTTGCTCCATAGCATCATCAGCTGGAGCTCCCCATGTGGCTGCATTCACACGGGCATCCCCTCCCGTGTGGTCTGAGCCAAAATACCCCAATGAGCATGCGCGCAGACCACCTGATTCCCCTAGGTGAGTGCCACATGCTCTCTGTGCTCTATCATGGTTGGGCTGTTGGGTAACCTCATTCTCGCTCAGCTTTTGCGCCAGCTCTTTGACCTGCTCCGGTGTGGCGGATAGGCCTATATTGGCCATCACTGTCAGCAGGTTTTCTGCTGCCAGTTCTTCTGGAAGGGGCTCTTCTGCTGCCTGCTTCTCCTGCTCGAGTTGCTGGTTGTAGAGATTTGTGGTCTCTTGTAGTTCCTTCTGCGCCGTTTCGATCTTGCTCTGTGTCTCCTTGAGCTCGTTGAGAAGCTGTGTATACTGGGTCTTGATGGCATCCGCCTTGCTCTGGATTGCAGCCTTCTTCTCCGAAAGCTGCTTGAGTGTCCCAACCGCTTGCTTGAGCTTCTGGTTGAGGGGCGGGTCCATCTTCGTGGGCTGGATGATCTTCTCAACTTCCTCTTTGAGAACTGTTGGAAGGCTCTCCAGGTGGTCCTTGATCAAAGTGGGCAAATCCGGCGGAGCCGCCGGTTCTGCCCCCTTAATGCCCATCTCCTCCAACTGCTTCTTCAGAATGTCCGGGATGTTAGTCCAGTGCTCCTGGAGTTTCTTCTCAATGCCTTTCACTTTTGGCTGTTTGCTTGGTTTGCCGCCATGTAGTCCCGGAGGTGGTGCAATCAGTGCCTCCCTGTACGTTTTCTTTAGCTTGCCCATTCAACTCGTCGAGGTCCTAGATCAGGGACTTGAGGTTGATGCCATTTCCGCCCGCATTGATTGCAGCACAAACCTGGCTTCTGCACCACCCTATCAGCCCAGATCCACGATGATCTGCACCCTCCACAGACTTGGTATTGTCTCCTCATGCCACCCTTCTCTGTGTCAAACAAGTCGTGCTGGTTCACACGTGGTGCCCAGCAAGGATGGCCGCTATTGACCCTTTTGAGCCCAACCTTGAGCCTATAAATATATACTGTATATATATATATATATACGTCCATGATCTTCCTGCGCAGTCACCTCCGGCAGCTTTCTTCTCTGCATTGCTTCGGAGGTCAGTACCGTCCAGTTTGGCAACTGCCTGGGCAGGTGGCGAATCATGTCAGCGAAAAGCCTGGGCTGGATCAGATTGACCACTGCACTCTCTGATCTCTCATTGGTCCTGAGATCTTTGAATTGCAGTCTAGCATAGTCTAGCAAGTTTTTTAAGAACTTTTGGCTTGACAATACCACAGCTCCGTCCTCCTTTGCGGCAGATGCTTCATGGAAAGCTGCATAGAAAGCCAGTTCTGGCCGCCAATTGATTCATCTTCGCGAACCAAAAAACATCGGGTGCCTCCGGACTTTTCAGCTTGCGCCACCTGGAGCAGTACAAAAGACTTGAAGATCGGCCCCAAAGACTAGCAGGTACTGAGCGAACCGCCGGTCTAAAGCGTAGCTCTCCAAATCGCCCAAGCCTTAGAACCACCGCCAGTAACCAAAGACACCGACGAAGCCACGTCCAAAAGCTTACAAGGACATCTCCAAGAATGAGGAACTTATTCGCAAGATGAGTCAGGAGGTGTGTGGTACTGGGTCCTGAAAATGGCGCAACACTCAGCTGAGCATCTCATCTCTGACTGATTGTCTCCAAGGTGCAATCTGGCCAACTTTGTCGAAAGGAGTGGGAGGGTCTTCTCCTGCTGGTCGCATAGAGAAGTCGAGACTTTGAGATTTGGGTGTCTCAGGATGCGTGTTCCAAGTCTGAGTGGAAAGCTAGATGACAAAACCCTCGCTCAAGAGTAGATCAGTATCTACACTTGCTCCTCCACCCAGGAGACCGGAAAGTTCTGCAGCTTGACCACCCTTGGCAGTGCGAGTTACATGTACTTGGCGTAAACGAAGAGCAGCGCTGAGAAAGAATTGTCTCTGGGTGAATCTAATGCATCTTCCAAGGAAAATCTATCACAAATGGCCAACAAATGCGGGTGAGCTTGATCTGCATTGAAGGGAGAATGGTCCATTGAACATTGCGAGCTTATCGCGGCCCGCTATTTCTCGATCAGCCAGCCAGCCGGCCGGCCGGCCGGCCAAGAACCACGGTCCAGCCAGCCGGCCGGCCGGCCGGCCAAGATCCACAGCCCAGCCGGCCGGCCGGCCGGCTGATCAACGACCGTCGGCTACTTACTACTACTACTACTACTACTGCTACTACTACCACTACTACTACTACCACTACTACTACTACTACCACCACTACCACTACCACTACCACTACCACTACCACTACCACTACCACTACTACTACTACTACTACTACAACTACTACTACTACTACTACTACTACTACTACTACTACGACTACGACTACGACTACGACTACGACTACGACTACGACTACGACTACTACTACTACTACTACTACTACTACTACTACTACTACTACTACTACTACTACTATACTACTACTCCTACGACTACGACTACGACTACGACTAATACGACTACTACTACTACTACTACTACTACGACTACGACTACGACTACGACTACGACCACGACTACTACTACTACTACTACTACTACTACTACTACTACTACATGGCCGGCCCGCCGGCCGCTATGGCCAGCCGGCCGGGCGGCCGCTATGGCCAGCCGGCCGGCCGGCCGCTCCAGGTGCTAGCCGGCCGGCCGGCCGCTCAATGTGCCAGCCGGCCGGCCGGCCGTGGAAGAAATCTACTACTACTACGACGACTACTACGACTACGACTACGACTACGACTACGACTACGACTACTACTACTACTACTACTACTACTACTACTACTACTACTACTACTACTACTACTACTACTACTACTAGTCTA